AGGGCTGATGTTTTTTCTGATTCATTTTTCTTGGCAAAGCAGTTCCAAATTACTCAATTATTGATGTTGCGCTTTCTGAAAAGGAAGAAAATGAATTGCCGTTGCACTTCCTTATCAAGGAGACAAATGCGAGTGAGGTGACACTTTCTGAGAAAGCTGGCTGACTGCAATTTTGATGTTGTGCTTTCCTAAAAAGAAGACAAAACCACTGACGTTACACTTCCTCAAAAAGAAGACAAATTAGTGACGTTGCACTTCACTAAAATGACGTGACGCGATTTTGGTTTGTTTTACGATGCACAATAGCGAGAATCCATTTTTTCAGGACTTCATGTCGTAAACTGTGTTCCCACGCTCTGTCGCGGTTCATCGGGCGCACCCCCTACGATGGTGGCACTTTTTCAACAATCTTTCGGGGGGTTTTTAACAGCGGACAGGCAACTCCGAATTTAGAGTCGGACACCTCTCATGTTGTACCGAGTCGGGCCGCAACATGCCAGGGAGAGGAACTCCACTGGAATAAATGATGGCCGGCAACTGAGCAATTATGTGAAGGAAGCAGTTGTTACTGTTTTAACTGGATTTTTGCAATGTACATGATGTGAGCAGTAAGGTAACATTTTTGGTTGATGACAATAAAATAAAACACTAATTGTCTGCTAACTGTTGATTAACATTCAGTACTTTCCCCCTGAGACAGATGCCGGGATAAGTCCAGGGGCTCATTTGCATATCGCTTGCGGCAGACAGAGGTGATCGCTATCCTGCGCCGGCCACTTGAGTCCTTTTCTCCAAACATGCTTAACACAGACTAATGACGTAATTGCTGCTCAATTAGAGGACACAATGGCCACGACCGGACCCATCGGCAATATGCAAAAATTGCCGCCATGACGGAAAGCTTGCAATTCTTGTTGATTGCAACCAAACTAGAAACACCACAAATGTTTTGCAGGTGTACACGCGTTTGGACATTCGTGTTAACAACAACGACATCATCATCATCGACTCCCTCCTCTTGTCACGCTACCCGAGCACAGCATTCGGGTCGTCAATTTGTAGTGACACCCAAACGGCCCCCCGCTTGTATTTGTTTAGCCGGCAGATAAGTGTCTCAACACGGCGTAGAACACCACCCCCCACCCTCCCCTCCAGGCCCCAGTGTTTGTGACTCAGCTAATGACCTCCCTAATGAACGTGCTCCCTTTTCTCAATAAACATGTGGCAGCGGGGTGGCGTGATAGTGGTGGTTGGGGGGGCAGTAACAAAAAAAAAAACTTCGGGGCAGGGTGATTTTTGCCCATTGTAATGGACCTTGACCCCCCGCAGGGAGCCATGAATGCCGGCCACAGTGGGGGCGGTCGGGCGAGTGCACCGAGAAAGAGTTTCACCCCCTTAGCCACCCTGCAAATCAAAACAATGCACATTTGGACATTGTTGCACTATTTAGACTAAAAGCACACTTTTTTTTTTTATACTCGGTAACTATAAGTAGAATGCAATGACAAGAACGCTCCCTCAGTTATTGCAGATTTTTTTTTTTTTTTTTTGTGTTATATTAATGACCATTTACTCGATTACGATTTCACGAATGCATTCGTGTATGTTGGTGATATGAATCAACTTTCCGTTGATTGAAGTGACTTTTTAAGACGGCCTTTTTAATTGACGTGATACTCTTCAGATGTGTCGTTAACACGAAAGCAACGGAAAAAAAGTTGACCACAAAGAAAACAAAATCAATCCGTTTTAGTTTTCGGAGCAAACGTTTGGTTTCTCATCGGTACCGTATGAATTGGTTCTTGCCTTGATGAGCCGTCGCCGCTCAAGAATTCAGAAGAACCACATGAAACACGTACACAAAATATTTAAAGGTGTGCCTGTACTATATGTCAATGTCAGAGGGGGGCCTCTTTGATGGACCCAACCTGTCTTTTATTTAAGGGTGCTGTCTTTTGTCTCAGTCGGCTTGAGGTTGCTCGATAGCCTGTTTCCAATTGGGACAAGAAAGGCCAGTGTGATTCCCGCCGTAATGGGAAACAGCCCCCGACATCATTCCCGAGCGCCAAGATTGGAACGCCGGTGAAGGAAGATGGCAAGAGGGCAAAGAGGACAAGATGCAGTCCACCGTGGCAAATCAACCAGACTTCCATCAAAGACAGTCGTAAGGCACCAAACCCCGCAAATAATGTCGGACTCAACACCCCTTGCTTAGAAGTTAGCAAGTTAAAGTTTTCTCCACCACATCCCAAAGACCTTGCGTTGAGTTTGCTAGCAACTGAAGAGGCATAACTTACAGACGAAGATCGCTGCAGAGGGTGGTTGCCGGAGTGATGCCCCGGGGGTCGCTTGAGCAAGGCACCAAACCTCACATGGCATCGTTTTTCTCGGACTAAAACACACAAGTCATCATTAGAACGCTTCAAAAGACCCAGGATGGAATTTTGCGACGAACCAAAATGGCAGACGTTACCTGCCAGCTGTGGGCGGTCGGCAAAGAGATGCCAGGATGTGCCACAGAACTTCCAATTGCTGTGGGACCACCCTTCCAAGACCAAAACCACTGCCTCAAGTCTTCTCCGGATCAACGATGATGCGCTTCCAGTGGGTTTTCAGTACATTGGGCCTCGCCTTTCAAGATTTGGCTTGACTTGAACCAGATGGACCCCGGTTTGATCCCAGCTGTGGAACAAGAAGGGAGAACCCCAAAATCAATGGAGGCTGTTGAAATCAATCGCTGATGAAAGAATAAATTGGCACCACGTTTTTGGCAATGTTCAGCGCAATCGACTGCGTGATTGCATTCTGCTTTCTTGTCGTGTTGTCTCTTTCTTCGCGGTTGCTTTATTGCAAAATAGATGCTTGAGCAGTCGGAAAAAAAGTTTCTCAAGATAGCCACCGAATGGCTCCGTTTGCAACAGTGACTGCACTTTGGTAAACTGGCTCCTCTCTTGTTCGCAGCCATGTTAGTGGAAGAGGTGCAGGTCAGCGTGCAACTGTGGATAAATATTGAATTGAACTTCCTATTTATGAAAATAAGTCACATATTTTGGTTGAAAAAAAAAAAAAAAAAAATACCTGCCATGGCAATTAAGGGTGCGCAGTGAGAGTCATTTTTAATTGGCCTTCGGATTGTGAGGCGGTCATCAAAATTTCTCTCCTTGAGGGGGTCCTTGGATTCAAAAACTTGGGAGAAATCCAGACTTTGAATTCGTGACTGTTCCATGTCAAAGCGAATTTCAACTTCATCTTTGACGCAATCCTGTTTGTTTACAGGTGGGCTCCATCACAGTCCATGTGATTTTTTTTTTTGGCTTCCAAAACATCACGTGTGATTCACTTCACACAAGGGGGAGCGGGAGTTAGGCCCTCCCAAACTTCTCATTTTTTGGGCTCACTTTGCTCTGAGGAAGAAAAAAAAAGTGTAAATATTTCCTCCTCTCGCAAATAGCCAGCGAGAGAGCTGCGCGGAGAGAGAAAAAGAGAGCGAGAGAGAGAGAAAGAGAGCGAGGGCAGTCTCCTCACTCAAGCTGTTTTGTCAAACCCTCCCGCTGTCATGGAGCCGCCGTCCCAGATGTTCCTTTGAGGGGAGCGCGGAGCAGAGCTGCAACAGCGAAAACCTTGGCCGCGGTGAGGGAAAAGTGAGCGCGGGGTGGGGGGTCCGG